CTTTTTAAAAAGAATCAGATTTTACTACGTGCTCCTGCCATTGCTGCCGCCAGGTGGGGGAGGGGGCAAATGACTCAAGACCCGAACTTGAGGCTTGAACTTGAACCCAAAGCCTCAGACGCGGAGCATCAGACTCGGGATTCAGACCCAAAGATGTGCCAACATTCCTGCTTCTCATAAGAGCACACAGAATTTTCTACTACCACCAATTCTGAGATTTACAAACACACTCAACCCAATAGTTGCATACCTACGCACCTACAATTCTAGATAATGCTTCAGGCATCTGCCGAAGTGGACCGCAGGCTTCAAGGTGTCACAGAAGCTCAGGATCTTACTGGTATCCGTGTCTAACTGACAAGGTAGCCACAGAGGCTCAGCACTGACAGATAGCAATGGCAAGTTATACAGACCTTATACAAGCACCAACAGAATTCAGACTAACCTTGTGTTTTTGCTGTAACCATAGTCACCCTTCTGGAAATGATCAAAGGCTGTCAATGTTAAATAAACACTTGAATTGTATTACAAAACAAAAGCATTCCTCATGGTTTGTTGACATTTTCCAACATTTTTCCTCAAGTCTTTTTAAAAGTTGCTCATCAAGGTTAACACATCGCTGTAACATCCTTTTTCACCTGGAAGGAGATCTTGGGTAATTTAGTCACAACCAGGATAGGTCCACTGAATCAGTGGGGTTTGGTGAATCAGCTTCTCTGCAAGTTCCACTGATTCAGTGGGTATTCCAAGTGCAAATTACTATGCTAAGCGAAAATATTTCAGCCACTGAGTGCAGAAATGTATAGCACAATTTTCTTACACATCAGGGAACCTGATGTTATTAAATTGTATGAGATTTGGGGGCTTTTCGAAGTTTTGACCCATTTGGGAAAAAAAAGAACTGAAAGCTTTCCTAATTAATCTGTGCTGTAGCAAATGCAAAAGAGGAGAAATAATGAAGTATTAAATTACGTATGTATTAGAACATCAAACCAAATACTGCAGGATTCTAAATAAAAGTATAAATTAAGAGCACAAACATCACAAAAATCGAGAGACATGCCACAAATGGGTGTAAACATCTGTAAAATACAAAATAAACACAGAGAACATACAGGCCAAGGCAGTGGAAGAAAGTGGCATGAACAAGCAGTGGTACAGGTCACAGGAAGCGCTGGCAGAAAGAATTGCTGGATAGCTGTGGCGTGGCTGGGAGTTCAATTCCGCACTAGGCCTCATACGTTAGAATTTAGCAATTATACAAATGTAGAGCCAATGTATTTTCTTATGTATAGCAAAGCCTAGTGCATAGTATCTCCCAGTGCATTATGGGATGTGGCCATTATTTTAAAGTATAGGGCTCACATAGCCATCCTACTCTTGCAAACAATATAATAAAACAATATAACGTTCCTTCCTGATCTCCTGAAAGGAAATAATACACAACTCAGAAAGACCAGGCGGTGCCAAAGGAATACTGGCTATATCTTGAGGAAAGACTTAAAAAGAAGTATCAATTTAAATTAGCTTTTCCTTTGTTTCTTCAGACCTTCCTTACACACGCTCTTGTGTACCATACCTATTGGTAGTCTCGGCTGGCTTCCAATAATAATAATATTTTCCTAAATAATATAAAAGTATTTCATAATAAACAGTTGCCTAAAACTTCAATGTGGTTCCCCATAGATTCTTAAGAGAAAAGTCTCCACAATGGCAAGTTTGTGCTCCTTCCTTCAGTCCTTCATCCTGACAATTTATGCTTGTATCCCTCCTGTCTTTTAGGCTCGAGTCCAAAGCTCCCTGATGGTCTATGTTTCCGCCTCACGATCCCTGATAGTCTAGATTAACATTTTCAGGTTCCCCTGATCGTCTTCCTTCCACGTGCTCTTCAGATTAAGGCCTGCTTCGCTTTAGTAAAATCAGTGTCTCCGCTGATGCTTACCACACCGTCTCCTAGTAACCTAAGTGTAGGATCTCTGCAGTGTGTCAGGCCTCAATGTCCATGTGTTTGGGCTGTGTCCTGAAAACAGAACATTTACATAGTCCCCCCCTCCCAATCATGATCTGTTGTTCTGATCTCTCCTCCGTACCATTTTTCCTCTGCTCCATCTGTTACTATTTTGTTGCCCCATTATTATTATAACAACATCTTTGATGACTATTGTTGTAAACTGCTTCAGGGTTTGGGCAACAGAAAAAGATACAGAAATGTGAGCCCCAGTCTTGTTAATCTTCTTTCAGGGGCCTCTAGTTTCACTCTCCATCTGGAAGAACCAGAGCTGGAGACAAAATTAAAATAACAGCAAAAATAGTCCACCACAAGAGGCTTCTGGGAGGCCTATACAGTGGTGCCTCTCTCGCTAGACAGTTACCCCACATGACAGTTTTTTCGCTAGACGTTGACTTTTTGCGATCGCTATAGCAATTCGCAAAACAGTGATTCCTATGGGGGAATTTCGCTGGGCAATGTTTGGTCCCTGCTTCGCAAACCGATTTTCGCTAGACGACGATTTTGACAGCTGCCTCCACGCTCGCAAAACAGGCGTTTTCGGGACCTAAGCTTCGCAAGACAGCAATTTAAAAAGCTGATCGGCGGTTCGCAAAGCGGCTTTCCTATGGCCAATTTTCGCTAGACAATGATTTCGCTAAACAGCGATTTCAGTGGAATGGATTATCATTGTCTAGCGAGGCACCACTGTATGTCATTTCTGACACTACCTTTTTTACAAGATCTGTGGGCCCATAGTGAGATGCAGGTTAAAGTACAGATATTCCCAGCTTTTCCACAACCTTTCCACTGACACCTCCAGCGAACTTCAAAGACACACCAGTGGTCTGAGGGCTACTGTTCGAAAATTTCTGCTTTTGTCTATGAGAAAGCATTGTGAACTGGCAGGCAGGCAGATGGATGGATGGATAGAAGGATGGATGTAAGCAGGGATACAAAATCACACAGACTATACCTAACAACACTGAAAAGAAAATGACTTAAGACTACCTACAACAGTACTAAGCTGAGGACCAAAGTTCCTTCCACTTCTATGCGGTTAAATTCAAACATCTTCATTTAAGACATACGTCTAAGGCTACTGTAAACAGTACTGGAGCTTTTTGCAACGTCGCATGCTGCCTTTAGTAGCTGTGGCTGGGAGAGAGCTTTCTGAGTTTGGGTGACAGTCAATAGATCCAGTTGCTCCTTCCTCACCTCTGAATTCAAAGAAAGCCCTGCCTCTCCCTGTTCAGTGCTCTTTCCCTCTCTTTTCTGTACAGTATTGGAAGTTTTTTTTTTTTGCAGAAGCAGTTAGTTTTGTCAATTTGCTGTTTGACCTGCTGATCTGTAAAGTCATGAAGCCTTTTTGTTCTTTCTCCTACTAAGGTCTCCGAGTGAGTTATCGAGATGGTAAGTGCCAGTTCATGAGAAAAAAAGGGGTGGACAGCTCTGGTATTCTGCTCTGTGAATCCTTGCGTTTCTGCCGCAAAGCTAGAGGAATTAAACAAGAAATTCAAAACTCTGCCGCAAATAGGATTTTCTCCTTTTTGTTTTCTGAATTATTCCAAATAATTTAAAAGTTAAAGATGCATCATCGCCAATCAAATGCTACTATTCCCGGCTGAAATAGACATAGGTGGTGCCTTTACACAGAGGTTTGACCCATCAGATGGATGGGCAACTGTTACCCATTAACTCCCAACCACCCATCCCAGCATTGCCAAATCCCATAGCATGCAGACAATCCACCCTTGCTGATCCCTCGTACAGATGAGGAACCAACACTCCAGATAGCACTGTCTGAACAGTCCTTTTCTGTTCCAATTGCAATAAAATGCCCTACGGTTATTTAAGAATAATGAAGACTGATTCCCAGTGATGTGCTTGGGTCACTGTAGACTTTAGACTTATTGACTGGTAATACAAACGTCTTTCTCTTTCTTCAAAACATGACATGTCAACCTTTCTTTTCATTCTTTTGGACAGAGCTCTGGACTTCTGCCCCTAAACTTCCTTTTCTGATCATGTCACTGTTGTCTCCTTAGCTCCTTAACAACATCCGAAGGGATGTAGGCTTCACCATCTCTTATCTAAACAATACAGAATTAAACTCGCCCAATGATTTCAGAATGATACAAGAAGAAACATTAGAATCTATGTAAGGAGCTTCATGGCGCCGTGGTTAAACTGCAGTACTGCAGCCCAAACTCTGCTCACAACCCGGAGTTCAATTCCAGGTAGCCTTGAATCCTCAAGGTTCACTCAGCCTTCCAAGATCAGTAAACTGATTACCCAGCTTGGTTGTGGGGGCAATGTGTAGCTTGCACAATTAAATTGTAAATTGTGCAGAGAGTGCTTTAAGCGCTATAGGGTAGTATATAAGCAACACATTTTTTTGGAGCATTATGGTTGGGTTGGGACGCCCCCCCCCCAAACTGCATTCAACAGAAAATTCACAGTTCTAGCTGGCTCTGCATGGTTCAGCTTATGGCCACCCATGACGTTAAGAACCAATTTTTGGATTTCCACTTTTGCAACTGTTTCATTCATTTCTTATTTCCAAATATGATGTGTTAACAAATATACACACAGTTTGTTTGTTTGTTAAAGGCAGAGAAACCCTATAAACCCTGAAGCAAGGTAAGACAAATGAACCAGAGTTCGACTTGCTGGTTTTGTTGAGGTAAATCATGGCAAATCCGAACTTCCTCCTCAAGTGAGGTACGTCAACTATCTTCGAAACACATATTTTTTTCACCCTTAGTTAAATGCTCCTACTGTGGAGCATTTATGTCAGAAAGACCAGCTGACGTCAAGAAAGCATTCACTTTCAAGATGAGATTTTATTCCACTCGAATTCTTCAGAATGTATCTCCCCATGTGTTGGCTACTTGCTACTGAATAAAATTTCCTTTTTCCATAATGCTTCTACCGCACTTGAGGCGTTCATAGGATTTCACCCTCAAGTGAACTCTGTGGTGTACCTGTAGGTGTGAGTGTCGACCAAAACACTTGCCACATTCTAAGCATTTATATGGTTTCTCCCCTGTATGAACTCTCTGGTGTTTCACAAGGTTCGAGAGCTGAGCAAAACATTTCCCACACTCTTGGCATTTGTAGGGTTTCTCTCCCGTGTGGACTCTTTGATGGCTCACAAGGGCCGAACGTTGAGCAAAACATTTCCCACACTCCTGACATTTATGAGGCTTTTCTCCTGTGTGGACTCTCTGATGATTCACGACATCTGAATGTATAGCAAAACATTTCCCACACTCCTGACATTTGTAGGGTCTCTCTCCAGTGTGGATTCTCCGGTGCTTCACAAGATCAGACTGCTGGGCAAAACATTTTTCACATTTAAAGCATTTGTAGGGTTTCTCTCCTGTATGGACTCGCTGGTGGTTGACGAGATTTGACTGGTGAGCAAAAAGTTTCCCACACTCCTGACATTTGTATGGTTTTTCTCCAGTGTGGACTCTCTGATGGTTCACCAGGACTGACTGGCGTGCAAAGCACTTTGCACATTCCAGGCATTTATATGGTTTTTCTCCTGTGTGCACTCTTTGGTGATTTATAAGGACTGAATGACGGGCAAAACATTTCTCACACTCTGAACATTTGTAAGGCTTCTCCCCTGTGTGGACTCTTAAGTGCCTGACAAGTTGAGACCTCTGGGTAAAACATTTTACACACTCCAGACACTTGTAGGGTTTTTCTCCCGTGTGGATTCTGTGGTGATTCACAAGGACTGACTGGCGGGAAAAACATTTCCCACACTCAAGGCATTTGAAAGGTTTTTCTCCCGTGTGGACTCGCTGGTGTTTCACAAGCTCCGAATGATGGACAAAATATTTCGCGCACACCACACACTTGAAAGGTTTCTCCCCCACGTGAACAATTCGGTGTATGGCAAGATCTGACTTCTGAGCGAAGCACTTTCCACACTTGCGACATGCGTTCTTCTTCCTCAGAACACCTGCTCGGATTAAAGACAAAACAACAGGATTGACTCTTAACGATGATAGAAAGAATCGCATGTGAGATCAACACACATGGGCAACATGCAGACAGTGGGTCCATTATATCCACTAGAGCCCCCCCAAGTGTCCAGAGCAGCCCCACATTTTGAGAAAAATGGGGGGGCAACATCCTTTTGTGCCATCTGAGGGAGGCAATTTTGCCGTTTTGAGGCCCCTACAAAAAAGAGATTTGTTTGTTTGTTTGTCTACCAGAGGCACAAAGGGACTTCTCAGTTTTAAAAATTGTTATACCAACATTTTAGGTTGGGGATGCTCAGTTCCTCCAAGGTCCAGTGACAGACCTGCGTGACCCCCACGTGCAGAACTTCCACCCATCCCTGCAATCTCGTGGAGTCTTGGGAAACGGTTTAGGGCCTCGATACTTGGCGGAACGCCTACTTCCATCAAGATCTACCCGTGTCACTCGTGCGAGCCAGGAGGTGAGGCTGAGGAGCCTAACGCCGAGGGAGGCGCGGAAGGAAAAGACAAGAAATCGGGCCTTCTTGGCGGTGGCTCCTTGCCTCTGGAATAACCTTTGTCCTGAGATTCGTGTGGCTCCCTCGCTGGGTATCTTTAAAAATCAGCTAAAAACATGGATGTTTCGGCAGGCCTTCCCCCCCAGTTAATTCCTGATGTCCCCGTTTTTTTCCTACCCCCCTATTGTTTGCTCCTATTTGTTGACATGTTTTATTATGTAGAAACTGTTATATATATATTTTCATTGTGTATTTTTCTGTTGTAAGCCGCCTAGAGTGGTCTTAACCGACTAGATAGGCGGGATATTAAATAAATAAATAAATAAATAAATAAATAAATAAATAAATAAATAAATAAATAAATACGTATCCAAAAGCATGGAAGCTTGTAGAGCTGCTACCAGTCAGATTTTTGACAGCATTGGGCTCAATCAACCAATAGTCTGATGCAATACAATGCAGATACCTACCTTCCAGCGCGGTCTGATAGAGTCATTTCTCCACTGGGCATCCGAGAAACGTCAGCCTGGGTGGCCTTGGGCCAGCTGCACAGCCCCAGGATGCCCACAGAAGAAAGGAAGGGTAAACCACTTCTGAATACCCTCTCCCGTGAAAACCCTGGAAAGGGTCGCCATAACTGAAGTGGCTTGCCTGCACATAATTATTATTAATCAATTCCACCACATTTGCCTTTTAGCAGTCATTCATTCAGAACTTCTACATGATGTTCTATGAAATAGGTTTTACAGTGCTTTTGCTACCATATTTAATTTCTTTCACTTATTACTGATGTTTTCTTCTGTTTTCATATGTTTTATAACTGGCCGGGATAGGTGGAGCCTTTCCAGAGTGGGATACACATCCATGGAGACAGTAAATAAATTTTGATTTCTTGATCTGATTCATTTGGGTGTTTACAAGAAAAAGAGGAGCAGTAGGTGTTAAGGACAAATGAAGTTGAATTTTGGACAGCTGTAACCCATGGGCACTGTTTTGATTAACAGTGGAGTGTCGCTCTGTAAGCCTGTGCAGCAGCCTCTTTAACGGCACAAAGGTCAGAGTTAAGGGGAAACGTCTGACCTTGAAACATGAACTGAAGAGAAACAGATGGGAAATGGTCTTCTAACAAAAAAAAAAAAACAAAAAACAAAAAAAAACCCTACACTACAACTGTGTGGCAACTGAGATCCATGGCTTGGAATGTACAGTGGTGCTTCACTTAACAAGGAAATCGTTTGATGATTAGGTTTTTGTGATCGCAAAAGCGATCACAAAACGATGGTTTAAATGGGAAAAATCCGCTTCACGATGATCAGTTCCCTGCCTCGGGAACTGATTTTTGCATTATAACAATCTAAAAACAGCTGATCATCGGGTTTCAAAATGGCCACCTGGTGTACAAAATGGCTCCCCGCTGTTTTCAGGATCTATTTTTCGCTATATAGGCACCCGAAAATGGCTGCCCCTATGGAGGATCTTCACTGGATGGTGAGTTTTCAGCCCATTGGAATGTATTGAACGGGTTTCAATGCATTTCAATGGGCTTTTTTATTTTGCTCTACGATGTTTTCGCTCTACAGCGAGGCACCACTGTATTTGTGCCAGGAACAACTCCCCACAGAGCATCTACCTTGGGGTATATCCCAGTCTCTCACCTGGCCGTGTACCACTGAAGCTGAAAGGATCCGGCAACCATGGGTCTTCTCCTTGTTCGAGACACAAGATGAGGTTAGGCTTGGGGACTGGAAACCCTTGACGGAGAAATTAAAAAAAGGAGTCATCTTCCCTGGGGAAGCACAGGCCACGAGCTATACATGGCCATTTTTTCTAACTTCATGGTTCAAAAGAAACAAGTTTTATTTTTACCTAATGAGGCCACATTCTCATAATTCTCCATCATGACCTCTTTGTATAAAGCCTTCTGACCTGGGTCCAGCAGCGCTCCCTGTCCCTCCGTGAAATATACAGCCACATCTTTAAAAGCCACCGGTCTCTGAAAGAATGAAAGCAGTCCGTGCTGAGCCAAAAAACACCTTTTTCAGTGATTTCACTCTCAGACAATGGACGTCTGCAGTCATTCAGTCTGAAAGGCGGTCACAGAAAACGGAAGAGGCAAAGAGATGATGCTTGTTCTGGCCACCATTTCTACTTGGCAAGAAGACTCTGAACGGCCCTGTAGCGTTCCCCATTTATTAGGTCATTGGTTCATGTTTTGTTAGGTGATGGTTCATGCATATTCATGTTGCTGAGAGGCGGAGCTGAGAGAGATGCTATAAGAGGCGGAGTCAGTAAGAGTAACAGAGTCAAGTAAGAGTGGAGCGTGTGAGAGAGAAGGGGATAGAGTGTGGAGTTTGGGGAATTCTGAGGCGTGACTAGAGTAAGGATTGTATTATCAGATACACACTTGAAGTGTGGACCTGAATCTTCATCTCTCTGAAGTAATGGTGATTTAGTGATCACCTGGTGGCAGCAGTGTAATAAGAGGGGATTATTTGCCTTCATGTGCTATGGGTCTTGACGGTCAAGCAAGGGGGCACGAGGGTGAACGCCACAGGCCCGTTTAACATTTACGGGGGTTCCTACCTGATCAGGTTCAACTGCAGCCCTTTGCCATCCTCTGGGAAAAGAGGGCGACTTAGCCAGACACACGGCCCTCATTCTGTGTTCTGCAGAGGTGGGATGGGCAAAGACAAGGTGATAAATTTAGATACAATACTAAAAAAACCCCACCTGTTTCAAGTACTTTTCAACATGTTTTGGAAATACTACAATGCATGATGGTGTAAGAAAGAAGCATTATATCAGGACTGCTTACAACACAGAAAATTGTCAAAGAACTGTCGTTTCGTCATTTAGTCGTGTCTGACTCTTCGTGACGCCATGGACCAGAGCACACCAGGCCCTCCTATCTTCCACTGCCTCCTGGAGTTGTGTCAAATTCATTCTGGTAGCTTTAATGACACTGTTCAACCATCTCATCCTCTGTCGTCCCCTTCTCCTCTTGCCTTCACACTTTCCTAACATCAAGGTCTTTTCCAAGGAGTCTTCTCCTTGGAAAAGAACTGTAGGGTGCTGTAAAACCAAAGAACTGTAGGGTGCAGTAAAACCAAAACCAGAGATGGCCGCTTTGTGCTTTGTACAGGTTTGTACGAAGCGCTCAGCACTGGCCCACCTGCCCACCTCCCCTCCTGCCAGCTGGCCAGGCCACTAATCAATCTACTCATCGGTTGTGTGGGGAGACTTCCCATCTTACCTCTTCATCAGAGTGGTCGGCTGCCTGAGGAGGCAGGAAAAGGCCGGCTGGGCTCCTGCCTGGCCTGCGGCACCACCACAGATCATTTGAAAGAAATAGGGAATTAATTTTTGGTACTTGTGTATTTAAAAAAGGAGAGGTTATACCCCTGAAGATGAATTACTATATTTGTGGAGTTATGTAACATAGCATAAAACATTTCTTATGTCAATTAGTCCCAAGGGTGGCAGGGAATATGGAGTTAAAAATGTATGTTACAATTGTGTTCCTTTTAAAAATTATTTTTAAGCTATGTCAGTGCCATTTTGTTTATTTGTTGCTGTTATATTACAGATGCTTTAAAATTAAAAAATGAAGAAGATGTGGCATAGTATAGGGATTAAATTCTTGATTAATAGCATTTGATTCCGTACTGGGGGGCCCTGACAGGGGCTGTATTCAATGATCCATTGGAGCGCTTCCAGCTGTACAGTTAAGATTATGATTATTATCACTATCAGCATCCTCTTCCTCTTCAGGACAATGGATTCCAAACATTTCCTCCTTGCCCTGCAAACAGGCAGAATATTCGTTCTTTGTGCTATTCGCTTAACAATTTTTTTAGGCAAATTGTACATTTTGTACGTTTGCTCAAAGCATTCAGAGCTGTCCTCCTTTTTTTAGGCAATTTGTACATTTTGTACAGCCTGCCAGGTTTGCTCAAAGCATTCAGAGCTGTCCTCCCCATAGCCTCATTCTGTGGCCTTTTAAGAATTAAATACATCAGATTCATTTTCGGTGTCCATTTGTAAAAACGACCCACCAGGCTTTATGGGCTTGCTCTCTGCCTCTGTGTCTGTGAGTGGGTGCAACACTTAGTGAGCATGAACACTTCACAATAAACTTCAGCAGTTATACATTGTATTCTATGTCAAAGTGCAGCAATAGTCTTTGTTCCGCTTGTTGTAGCAAATGCACACCAAGCACTCTGGAATTTATCCTCCTGTATTCTTTACATTCAGAGGAAGGAGGAGAGAAAATGGGTGGAAGAAACGATTCAGAGGAAGGAGGAGAGAAAATGGTTGGAAGAAACCTCCATCATTTAAGACAGTGAGTAACCCAAGGTTAAGAACCAGTGATTTAAGATATGCAGAGGACACCATCTTACTGGCAGAAAGTAGCCATGGCTTGAAACGGCCTCTTTAAGAGCAAGTGCAAGAAGTAAGCAGGACTGCCGTTGAACGCTACGAAGACAAAAGTGGCGACTTCAGAACTACACAACTTTGTTAACCATTGAAATAATCAGAGATTTTGCATACCTTCGTTCAATCATCAATCCAAATGGAAACCGCAACCAAGAAATCAAAAGAGGGATGAGACTCAGCAGGGCTGCAATGAAGGAAAAGATCATCAAGGGTAAGGATGTATCCCTGAAGACCGAGACCAAAATCATCCCACACTCGTGTATTTCCAATTCCCATGTACAGGTGTGAAAGCTGGACAATTAAGAAAGCTGAATGGGTGGTTGAGGACAGGACATTTGGGAGATCACTCGGTCATAACTCAGAGATGACTTGGTGGCACATAACTAATAAACATTGCATTATGATCTTTTTAAAAATCCTGCCAACTACTACATGGTTTTACTATTAAAAGAAAGTGTAACCTTGATCCTCTCCTCCTTCAAGACACACAACAGGGAATCAAAACTCCCAACCTCTTACATAACTTGCTTTTATTAGGGCCAACTCAAACACCGGAAAACTGTGCAGGCTTCCAGCTCTGCCAGAACACTTCATCAGACTAGAGAGTACAAAACGTAAGGGTTAAGGAAAATCGGAGAACCTTGTACCACCACTCCCAATAGCTGTAAAAACAGCAACCACCCTGATTCATTGGAAATGTGCTGCCAGAGCAGAGCTTTCTGGATACCCTGAACTGCCAGAAAGATGAACAAGTGGGTCCTAGATCCACTCAGGCCTGAGGGATCTCTAGAGGAAAAAAAATGTTGGGAGACTGTCCTACTCTGGGCACATCAGGAGAAGGCAGGCTTCTCCGGAAACAAACAATCACGCTGGGAAAGGCGGAAGGCAGCAGGAAATGAGGAAGACCACAGATGGACCGACTCCCTCAAGGAAACCACAGGGTTGAATTTGCAAGAGCTGAGCAGGGCAGTTGAGGTCAGGAACCTTTCCGAGACCCTCATTCGTGGAGTCGCAGTTAGTTAGGGAAGACCTGAGGGCGCAGAACCACAACCCCATCGTCTGATGCCGATTTAAGTCCCAAAGCCTGCAGCCTTGAGATCCCAATAAAGATACACCTTGCAAGGGGGTTGGTTTTATTTATCTCCCAAAATCTTTGTCTTTTGGGTTGGTTTTTTTATTTTTAAACCTACCGTATTCCAGATTCCGGGTGCTGTTTTTTTTTTGCACCTGATTTCCCCCCCCTCCCACTTACACTCATTTTGGGATGGGGGGGAGAAGAAGGGGGAGGGAGGATAAAGAAAGGAAACAAAGAAAAAAAATCCGGACGAGCGCTCCTCCCTCCTTCCAGCTTCATCATCAGGCAGGAGAGGCGGCATCTTAACGAGGGGGCAGGCGGGGAAGGGCCTCCCCCCCTCCCTCCTTCCCTCCCTTCCCTCAAAAGGATAAACA